TCGGCAGCCTTGTCGCTCTCGAAGGTGTCGTCCGGGAGGTTCGACTGTGGGAGAGAGGCATCTCGTTAGCATTTAAATTTCTCTTCGTGTTATTTTTAAATACAGGTGAGGTGTCTGGTGTGGTTGATTTCCAAATAAGCTGTAACACAATTAAAATAAACAGCCAGCCCAGCTGGTGTAGCTCAGCAGTTGAGCGTCGACCTGTGTGAACCAGAAGGTCATGGTTAGATTCCAGGTCAGGGCACATGCCCGGGTTGCGGGCTCGATCCCCAGTGTGGGGCGTGCAGGAGGCAGCCGATCCAGGATTCTCCCTCATCAGTGATGTTTCTCTCCTTCTCCCTCTCCCTTCCTCTCTGAAATCAATAAAATGACTTTTTAAAAAATAAAATAAGTAAAAACCCAGATCTCTCATCATAGTAGCATTTTGTTTGTTGGTTTTGTGTGTGTGTCCAGCTACAGCAAACAGGCCTTTAAAAACCTCCCTTTCCGGGTGGAAGTTCACATTTTCCCGGGGAAAGGCTGGGCCGGCCAGGAGCTTGTTCCCTGATCCCAGGACCTCACAGCTTCGCAGCCACACGTAGGGGTAACAGCACCAACTTAAAACACTGTGTGCCCGGCCTGTGCGTGAGACTGCACATCGACTACCGTACGGAGAGGAGCGCACGGGGAATCCGGCTCCTCAGGGAATCCGGGAGCGTGAACGTGAGAACAGCCGACTCCGAGGAGCAAAAACTGAGCCTTTGTAACAAAAACAAACAAACAAACAAAACCCTTTTTTGGCATCTAGCTTGAAAGACATGCTATTTCATTGAAAAGATGTCAAACTTTGTTCTGCTTATATTTTATTTTTTAAATATATCTTTATTGATTTCAGAGAAGAAGGGAGAGGGAGACAGAAACACCAATGATGAGAGAATCACTGATCGGCTGCCTCCTGCACGCCCCCAACTGGGGATCGAGCCCGCAACCCGGGCCTGTGCCCCGACCCGGAATCGAACCGTGACCTCCTGGTTCATAGGTCGACGCTCACCCCCTGAGCCCCGCGGGCCGGGCTCCGTTCTGCTTTAATTAAGTTGGTACAAACACTACAGTGAACTGAGACCACTGAACGAAGAACCTTTTTAAAGGAAACAGCGCTAGTCACGTGGGTTTAAGCCCGCGTTCCTCCCCAGCCCTTCCTGGTGAGCACCGAGCACAAGGACTCGGGTACTTGGCATCAAGTCCCCCGGGCCTCAGTGTCACTGTGTCACTTTAAAAAGGGGAAGCCCGTTACCGTTACCGTGGGTGTCCTCACAGCAGCGGAGACGAACCACAGCACAGAAGCAGGGTGGTTAGACGAGAAAGACACAGGGCTCTCCCACCAACTGCATGCAAGACGGAGCCCCCGCCCAGGGAGCCGGACAGAGGACAAGCAGGAGACAAGCAGAGCACGCAGCCCCCGCCCCGCGGCCGCTGGGCCGCACTCACATAGGACTCGAGCACGGCCTTGGGCCTCAGCCTGAGGGAGGGCAGGTCGCACACAGAGCGGCTGCGGTGCAGCTTGGCCAGGAGCGTGTCCTGCAAGGCACTCAGGGCGGACAGCCGCCGGGGCTTGTCCGGGGAGGGCTGCAGCCACCGCTTCCGGAGCGAGAGACGGGGACAGGGAGAGCAGGGACAGGTTAGGGTGAGCGTCCCGGCAAGCGTTTCAGGTTAGAACACACGCGGCGGCAAAATGCTGATCGTGCCCCAGCCGGTGTGGCTCAGTGGACAGAGCGTCGGCCTGGGGACCGAAGGGTCCCGGGTTCGAGTCCCATCAAGGGGATGTACCTCGGTTGCAGGCTCCTCCCCGGCCCCAGCCCTGGTTGGGGCCCTTGCAGGAGGCAACCAATCAAAGTGTCTCTCTGTCTCTCCCTCTCTCTCGCACTCTCCCTAAAAATCAATGGAAAAGTATCCTCGGGCGAGAATGAACAGAACAACAAAAAAATGCTGCTGTTAGAGAAGGTTCGGGAGGAATCCGTGTTATTAACCAAAGCGGCAGGGAGCGCGGGGGAGGGGCAGGAAGGCAGCGGGGCCCGCCTGTGAGCGCAGAGAGGCAGCTGGGGTGTCGCTGGGTGAGTAGGGGGTGAGCTTGAGAACCGCGTCGCTAGGAACGACGAGAGGACGAGAGGCGCTAACGCAGGGTCAGGCCCTATCGCAGGGTGTCAGCGTTTGGGACACGAGGCCACGGCCTCGGGCTCACGTCTCCAGCCCAGAATCACACTGAACTTACGAAGAAGGCGTGGTCTTTGAAGGTGGGCGTCTCGGGGGTGCCCTGGCTGTAAATGGACATCCTCCGCTGCAGGGCGGCCGCCTTGCTCCCGGTGCCGGCGGACGGGGTCATGTCCTCCACGTCGAAGGGGCTGGAAAACAGCAGGTCCCGGAGGTGAGCTGTCAGGCACCTGCCTGACCGACCGCCGGCTCCGGAAGCACCTGGTTTCACTCAAGGAAATTCTAACCAGCGGGAGGGGCGGGGCGGGGCCCAGTGGTTTGTCAGAAAATCAGCCAAGATGAGAGGAAGCTGAGTGTAAGAACCACTCGAGGGACCAGCAGTCATCATCACGCACACATACCACCTGCCTGCACACGTACCACCTGCCTGCACACACACCACCTGCCTGCACACCTACCACCTGCCTGCACACACACCACCTGCCTGCACACATACCACCTGCCTGCACACACACCACCTACCTGCACACATACCACCTACCTGCACACATACCACCTACCCGCACACCTGCAGCTCACCTGCACACCTAGATATGCCTCTTTTTGGGCCCCGACACAGTGTCTGGAGGGGCCCACGCGTGGCTTCCGGAAGGAGCCCCTGTGGTCAGCACAGCCTGTCCACCTGTTTCTACTGAGGAAACCGCAAAGGGCCACTTACTACCACGCGATCTCCAGGTTCAGCTTGATGGTGCCAAGGTCGTTGATGTCCACGGCCAGCACCTGAGGCCGGGCTGCAAACAGCTCTTTGGTCTCGCAGGTCACGCTGCCCACCAGGAGGTGGGTGGCCAGCCCTTTGACCTCTGTGACCTAGAAGGGAGCGAAAGGGGAGGCGTTGGAGGACAGCGGAACAGACAGGCAGGACACTGCGGTCATTTCTTTCTGAACCACAGCTGACGTCAGAGCTGATGTTGCCATGGAGTGGGCAGCAGGAGGAGCCTGAGGACTCGGCCGAGGCTCACCCAGCATGGCCCACCCAGCGTGGCCCACCCAGCGAGGCCCACCCAGCGAGGCCCACCCAGCGAGGCCCACCCAGCGTGGCTCACCCAGCGTGGCCCACCCAGCTGAGGCTCACCCAGCGTGGCCCATCCAGCTGAGGCTCACCCAGCGTGGCCCACCCAGCTGAGGCTCACCCAGCGAGGCCCACCCAGCGAGGCCCACCCAGCGAGGCTCACCCAGCGAGGCTCACCCAGCGAGGCTCACCCAGCGTGGCTCACCCAGCGAGGCTGACCCAGCGTGGCTCACCCAGCGAGGCTCACCCAGCGTGGCCCACCCAGCGTGGCCCACCCAGCGAGGCTCACCCAGCGTGGCCCACCCAGCGTGGCCCACCCAGCGAGGCTCACCCAGCGTGGCCCACCCAGCGAGGCTCACCCAGCGTGGCCCACCCAGCGTGGCCCACCCAGCTGAGGCTCACCCAGCGAGGCCCACCCAGCGAGGCCCACCCAGCGAGGCTCACCCAGCGAGGCTCACCCAGCGAGGCTCACCCAGCGTGGCTCACCCAGCGAGGCTGACCCAGCGTGGCTCACCCAGCGAGGCTCACCCAGCGTGGCCCACCCAGCGTGGCCCACCCAGCGAGGCTCACCCAGCGTGGCCCACCCAGCGAGGCTCACCCAGCGAGGCCCACCCAGCGTGGCCCACCCAGCGAGGCTCACCCAGCGAGGCCCACCCAGCGTGGCTCACCCAGCGTGGCACCAGGAGACCACAGCCGCCGGGAACACTGTACCTTGATGGAGATGAGCCCAGCGATCAGGGGCAGGAACACCGTTTCCTCTCCGTCCCAGCTCTGCCTGCCGTTGACCTCGATTTTGCCTTTCAGCTTCCACCGCTGTCGGCCGTACTTCATGAAAATCTGGGGAGACACCAACGGGCATGTGTCCTCACCTGCCTCCAGCCCCGAACACCGCCCTCCTTCCCCACCGTCCTCCCTCCCAAACTCCCGGGCTCCGAGTGTGGAGCCGACGCTGAGTGGGGAGACCTCGGGAGGGGGGGTTCTTGTCTGGAAGGCCCGGGGTGGGAGCTCTTTCTTTAGTAAAGATCGTCGCCCCTACCCGTCTGCTCCCATGTCCTGCTTCTTTCCCAGGCCAGTCCCACTTCCATAGGACAGCCACGGACTGACTCCCAGTCCCAGCCCCGGACAGAGATGATGGGCATCTGCTAAAATCTACTCAGCGGTCAGAGCAAGAAATAAGATGTCGCTGAAACCGGTTTGGCTCAGTGGATAGAGCGTCGGCCTGCGGACCGAAAGGTCCCAGGTTCGATTCCGGTCAGGTGCATGTACCTGGGTTGCAGGCACATCCCCAGTAGGGGGTGTGCAGGAGGCAGCTGATCGATGTTTCTAACTCTCTATCTCTTTCCCTTCCTCTCTGTAAAAAATCAATAAAATATATTAAAAAAAAAAAAAGAAATAAGATGTCCCTTGCCCAGACGGCATGGCTCAGCGGTTGAGCATCAACCCATGAACCAGGAGGTCACGGTTCGATTCCTGGTCAGGGCACAGGCCCAGGTTTGCGGGCTCGATCTCCAGTGTGGGGCGTGCAGGAGGCAGCCGATCCATGATTCTCTCTCATCATTGATGATTCTCTCTCTCTCTCTCTCTCCCTCTCCCCTCCTCTCTGAATCAATAAAAACATTTAAAATAAGCTGCAGAACTGCCACTCTCCAGAGCATCTCAACCATGAGGTCCTGCTTTGGCTCAATGAAGTCCCATAAACTTTTCTGTGTGCACATTCCTGTGTCAACAGGGTCTTAGGAGAACGGAGGGGCGAAGGATCACAGTGTCTGCACGTCCCTCCCGAGAGCTCAGCAAAACAATAACAACGACGGTGACGGTAACAGTAATAACACAGCCATCGAGGCACCTGCTAAACTCAGCGAGTCCAGACAGAAGCTACACAAGGGCTTGTGTTCCTCTCCAAATGTTCCTGTTGGCTTCATCCCCCCAATAACAAGTGTAAAAATGAAACAGAATTTAAGGAGCGAAGCAATGAAGACCAAACCCTCTCCCTCAGGCCTCCATCCCGACCCCCAGCCACACACGGCACTTACTTCGTACTGGTCCCCGGGGCAGAGGCGCGCGAAGCCGGCCAGACCTGCAAAGGGCAAGCAGTCGGGACGTGAGGTGCAGAATGCATTTCCCGCTTCACGACCCCGCACACCGGCCCCTCGACACGCTCACGCGGAGGGTCGGACTTCTGGGAACTCGTGTAGTAATACTTGGGGCCTCTGTGGGGGGAGCTACTGGGGTGGCGTTTCTGTATGACTCTAAATGTTTCGGTATGGTGTCCTGGGCAGTATGCTCAGTGGTTAGAGTGCTGACCCATGCACCGAAGGGTCAT